TTACATATTATTTCATAAGCTTGGTTATGTTTATTAAAATAAATATATTTATTTTACTCTGCTTTCATATTTACAAATGACTTGCATATCTAATTAATACAACTATTTAAAATAACTATCAATTCTCAAAGGTTATTAGGAATTCATGATAACTATTTAAGTTTAGAAACATGTTAGTAGGTTGGTAAACACTTTACAATAGGATTTTAAAACAAATTAATGAATCAAATTCATCAGTAATAGGTATTTAATGTAAAAATTATCTATATTATGTGTTTCTCTAGCTTCCAAATCAAATACTTTTCAAAGAATATCTAAACTAATAGATTGTCACAAATATTGAAAAACGCACATTGATTTTGAATCACATTTTTATATATAAATAATATAATTAAACAATATATTAATAAATAAATCTATGATCGTTGCCAGAATACTTCAATTAAATGAATTGATGATGCATGAGTAATATTTTTTCAACTTAATATAGAAACCAAATTTATTAAACTTTAAACATTAATCTAAATTTATATTTAACAATAATATCAATATTATTAAATAATTATTTGTACAGAAATATTTTAACATTTTTAATTCACTCTTATGATTAAAATGTTTAGACTTTTGACAGGTCAACTACATTAAAATAACTAACTTAAGAGTTTGAAATTGGCAATCGGATTTAATCAATGAAAAAAATTTAAGGCTAATTTTCAGATCACCTTCAAAAAGGGTATGTACGATCACAATATTTTGTTATACCTACTATGCTTGCCTCAATTTAAAATTATTCTAAATAGAGTATAATTTCATTATGTTTATAAATCATATAATCTGTAGTGTTTTGCATATCGGGCATTGTTTTTGTTATTTAAACCAATTATCTATGCATTCTTAATGAAGCGAATGAGAACAACTTATTTATTTTTTTTTGTCAAGAACATCTTCAAAACAAATTGTGCATTAAGTAATTCCATTTTTTTCTTTATTTTATTATTCTAATAAAGTAGAAAATTTGTTTAAATGATCTTTTAGTTCAGATTTAAAACATGCTACAGAACAATGAGGAAATTTTACTTAAGTCCAAAAATTACCCTCACAAATTTCTCAATGATCATTTAAGTAACGCTTAGCAATCATTTGACCACATTAATGGCATGGTTGTTGAATCAAATTATATTACCCTATTTAAAAAAAAGAGTTGTTGTTCATGTTTTCCTCATTTGTATTTTCTATAGCATTTCATGTAAAATTTTTTATTATAGCGTCCTGAATAAAACTTTTTTATGAGGTTTTAGTTTAAAAGGAAGGAAGATGGAGAAAAGTAAAACATTAAGAATATAATCTCATTACTAATACTTGATCTATAAAGGATTCACTAAAAGTAATTAAATATTTTGTGATATAAAAAATAAAAATACAAAAAGGATATTGTTATAACCACGACTCAATTTAAATTTGATTTTCAAGATTTAATACCAAAAATCAAAATTTTATTAATGCATCAGATAAGAGCAGTTCAGAATATAAATTTAAGAATTATTTAAATTAAGAAAATCTATTATTTTTGTGGGATAGACTACTTCTGATGTAGATAAGAATGATTAATTAATTTGAATCATTAAAATATATCAAATGTGAATCTTTTTCAATATTTCTAAAGTAGTTTTCTGAAGGTGATCATACAAAATAAACTGAAATCAGTAATATTAAAGAATCCTTGAATTTGGAGTTAAACAGGAGTTATTATATATTCTTTCAGTTGATTTAGGTTTTTCAAAGTAATTAATTTATTTTTAAAATCATAATTTATAACCTTACAAATTTACTACCTTATTGTAACTTCAATTTATTATTTATTTCTCAAAATTTGTAACTTGAAACAAGACTCAGCTTATTTATAAATATCTAAAGTAAAAAAGTAATCAATTTGAACATATATGAAAAAAATTTTATTTTTTGTTTAATCTTATGGTGCTATTAAAAGATTTGAGCCAGCACGAAATATGAAACAAATATCAAAAAGTTTCCCTTCATCTTAACAGCTACTCAATAGGAAGTTTAGAGGATTAAGGCAAGTAACCATATATTACACTCTTGGAAACCTAAGACTATAGGTCAAAGCATCAAGTCACAGTCCTAATTCTCTTGGAATGATGTTTGAAGATATATTATCTTAAATTATCATAAGATTTTTGCTTGACTGATTTTCTAGTTTATCATCATTTATATACTGAAGTTCGTTTCTGTTTATTTGTCTGTCTTTTATCAGAATCTTTTATATTATCATCAAAATTAGGCTGAACCTATTCTAAAAACCAATAACTTTGGCTTAGTCTTTGAAAATACTTTTTTAAGAATCCAATATTCTTAATGCTTGTCTTACTGATAAAGTTATATTACTCACATGTTCGAAAGTCAAAGATATTATTTATAACTTTGTAAAAGGTCTAGTAGAGGATGTGAAATAGATGTAATCCATTCTCAGGATGTTATAATATGAAAGATAATGGTAGCAGAATATGTCCACTTTAATTTTGCTAATTTTAAAGGACAAACGAATGAAAGTTTACATTCTTCTGTAATTATGACTTTATATTTTTCCATTAGTTACTATATAATTTATATTATTGAACATTATATGCCAAGAAAAATAAAACTATAATTATTTTAGTAATTTATTTTATATAAGTATGAATTAGTTTATCTTCTGAATATTGAATAAATTTTATGTTAGTAGGAATTTAGTTACTAATGAGAAGTTAATGATGAAATATTATTTTGCTTCTTTTTAAAACTTTATATCTCTAAAACATTTATTATTTTCATACTTTTAATTGTAGAAATTTAGATAATTATTTTTTCTTCTGTCTGTCTTAATAAAAAATAATATTCTTTAGAATTTTATTAATTAAATTTGATATTTTAATATTATTAAATAAAAATTGAGTGAAGTATAAGACCAAATCTACTTAGAGATGATTACTGGATCAAGATATTTTATATTTTACTAGAGAGGAAAAAAAAAGTAATCAAATAGTCTCTTTTGATTTATTAAGGCACAAGAGATGGATTAAATTGTTAATAATATTGGAATAAAGTGAATGGTAAAGCAAATTTACTTATGGTATTTAAATCCAAAAGTGATTACATCTTTGGAGCATACTCTCCTTGTAAATGGAAATCAGCTAATTGTGGGAAAAATATAGAAGATAATACGATATCATCTTTTATATTTTCATAAACTCATGATTAAATTTACCCATTAAAATAGGATTCAAAATAATATGCTATTCATTGTAATTACAATTATGGACCTATATTTGGAAAAGGATATGATATTCTAATAAATGGTAATTTTACAGATGGATATTCATAATTAGGTCAAGGATACTAATTTGAGAAATATAAGAATGGAAGCAATGATCCATATTTATTTGGATAAGATAAGCCAGAAATAAAAGAATGTGAAATATATGAATTATAATTTGTTTGATTTGGTATATTTATTTCAATTTTACCAAATAATTATGCTGGTTTAAATAATAAAAATGATTTAAAAATAATAATTTAACATTTAATTATAATTAATTTCAAAAGGACCAAAAGTGATTAATTATAAAAATTATAAATATAGGTGATTAGATTATTATAAACATGAGAAAAAATCTGAATTGTCAATATTCAACAAAATTATGAATATATAAATTCTTTTAATATTTTTTAATGAGTTTCCCACCTTTTTTGTTTAGGAAAAAAGAAATAAAATTAAATATTAGATAGGGGTTATCAAGTCTAAGTTATTTTCATTTTTAATCTTATGGGAATGAGTAGGTAGTCTAGATGTAAAAAAAATAAAGGAATATTAAGGGGAAAGTTTGAGAATGATATTCATTAACAAAATAACCCAAAAATTTCATCATTTTTCTCAAACGAAATAAGAATAAGAATAAATTTGAGGATAAAGTAGGATAATTTTATTCTTAAATAATTAGAATCCAATTGTTTGAAATTGGATTAAATTATAAAATCAATGAATTTAGGAATTTAATTTGATAGAGGAATTAATTTTTTACCATTAAAAAACAATATGGTATATGGGTTAACTTTACACTGGTGTAAACAATTTAAATAATTTTGTGTAACTTTAAGCAGGAGTTATAATAATAAGATAATGCTTATAAATTAAATATGGGAAAAAGAAGCTTAAAAAGTGACTAAAATTTATAATTTTCGCTTATCGACGCTAGATACAATATTCTTGTAAGGACTAATCCATAATTATAGATGATACTTTAGAAATTAGAATTATTTCTTTGAAGAAGGAAAAGAGGATATTTTCAATGATTTTTTGATACATTTAATCAATTTTTGATATATAAATATTTAAATTTAAGATTTAATATCAATATGATAATGAATAATTTTGTATTCATCAAATCTAAAATTTATCGGTCGTATTAATAATTTTTAGGAATATATTAATATCTTTTTAGGATCCATATAGATAGATATTAAGATAGTTTTAAGAAATAATATAATATACCAAATATTTAGTAATCTCTCTTAAATTCAAATATTATGACATCATCATATTTAGGTCTAATTTGATAAATAACAACTAAATATATTAATTATAAATACAAGAATATTTAATATATGTATAGATTATAAAATTATTCAAAAATATAATAATAATTTCTAAAAGTCTTAAACTCAGAAAACTCAATCATTAAGAAGACAAAAAACCTTTAAGATTATCACTAAACAGTTCAAATTCCAGAATTTATTATTAAATTTTTATATGTATATCATTATTTTATTGTAAATTTTTTTAAAAATAAAATACACCTATCTTTTTTGTTAGACTGCTTCATTATTACTTTTGCTGTTGATTATTTAAATTCATTATTGTTTCTATTTTTATAGGTACAATCAACCATTTTATTCAAAATAAAACAAAATTTACTAACAGTTCAACAATGAAATCCCAATATTAAATAGTTCAAATATTTAAAAATAACATAAAAACTTTAAGTGGAATTCACACATTTTAATGAATTTCTTTGAAAAAGCTGGAAGGAAATTTAAAGAGGATTTTCGCTTTTAGACAATTATAAATAATATTAAGCCATTTACTCTAGTAGCTTAAAAAAAGTCTGATAAACATATGCATTAATAAAAAATATGTGTTATATAAATTTATTTTCTCAGATCAATGAGATAATTACCTTAGTTTTTTCTTGAAATAAAGCAAATCTGAGTCTTTTTGAATTTGAGAAAACTAAAATAATTATACATCTATTTCTAATATCGTTCGATACTTATATTATACAAAATTTTTGAACATCGCATTAGCCATAAATTTTAAAATATAATTAACGATTACAGTATACATTTCCACATCATATATTAAAAGGGATCAAGTTCAATTCTCTTAATTAATTAAAGTTAATCTTCCCTTTAGTGCTTGTAACCCTAACAAAGGTATAGTTACAACAGCTTAGTTAATCTTCGAATATAGATAGATAATCGATATTTAAGTAGATTGGATCCTAAAATTAAGTATATGTTTTGGATATTCTCCTCTTCAATCTTAAAAATTCATAATCGATCCAATTATTAAACTTTAAGGGTCTCATCTTAAGGAAAAAAATATAATACTAAGATATACTTATAATTGAATGTTCAAATACTTAATGACGATAGATCCAAATATAAGTTAACAATCTAGATCAAAAATTTTTAGCATATGTCATATACAACATTCATATAGTTAGTAGGACTTTGCTTAATTTTAGTAATTTATAGGTTAAAATGTTTTATAGTAATATTAAAATGGCTAATGGTGAATTTAAGTATTATTTCCTAATTCAACTTTCCTTATTTTTGGATTTAAAGATAATTGGAATAATTATCAACAAATAGATAGGCAGGTATAGCTATGATGACCTTTAGTAGTTAGTCAATGAATAATTGTTAGAGGTATGGGCATTATCAGTAATTTAAGGACTATCCCATAATTTTTGAATTAAAAAATTAAATCAATGAAATTTTAATGGACTTATTATTTTTAAGAATATTGAACTAATTATTTTATTGGAATAAATTTCGGTCAATTATATTCCATTTCAATTGATTTCTTATTGTTGTCATTCTCATTTTTTAAATTTTGGATTACTATTCAATAATTAAATATCGAGTGTTTTCTTTATTATTTTTCATTAGAAATTTAATCTATCAGAAATCTTGAAAATATCAACCAAATCTATATGGGCAAAGTTTAACTGTATTATCTATTTTTGTATTAAGAATTAAATTGATATCTTTATTTATTAGTTGACAAATATTTATTTTTCATGAAAACAAGTGATTAAAAAATATATCCAAAAAGGTTTAATCTATTAATTTATTTTGAGTAATTTTTGTATTTCAAATTTTCTTTATAAATAATATGGCTATTAATTAATTTAAAATGTGTAAATAACTTTTATTGTTCTTCCAAAACTACAAAAAACTATTGAATTCAATATCTTAACAAATATTAAATTTCAGAAAGATACACAAAAAGGATAAGAAAATATCTAAAATTTTGTTTGTGCATAAACATATTTATAACTAAGATTTAAATAACTACTTTAAATTGTTAAAAAAATTGTAATGAAATTCTTATCAAATTGTATCTAATTACATTTAATATCAAGCAAAATCCCAAATCAAATTAATCGAGCCCTTTAAAAAGACTACTTTTTAGTAAGCTGTCTCAACTTTCTGTTTTAACCTCTCTATTAGCTTTTCTATACAAAAATATCACTTATAATAAAAATCATTTAGTAAGTTTCTAAAACAAAAATTTTAGAAAAATTACTTAAGACAAAAATTGAGTTTTTGAATAAAATAAAATAATTAGTTTTAAAATTAGCTGCTAAGCTTATAGATTTGAGATTATTTAATAATTTCTTAATTATAGTCACTTCTTCAAATATCCAAAAAACTCTTAATGTTGAACATATAAAGTAGAACCACTCTATGTTTAGTGTTTATACGATAGTAAATTAAGAAAGGTTACAGTTATTAATAATAAACCAATTTTTTATTTCAAAAAGACCATCATTGATAAGTTTTATAACTTTGAGGTAAGTTCTAAAGATGTAATTATAATTTTTATATGCTTTGTTACTTTGAGTTATAAGGGGTTAATTGATTTAGAAGATTTAATCCAAATATATCTTTTGTTGAAATGAAAATAAATATAACAATTGGGTTTTAGTTAAATAATATTTTTCGTGGTAGTCATTCAGGAATTAGTAAGATTTAATAAATGAACTTTAATCAATATTTTATAATACTATGATTAAATGAGTCAATAATCTACTATTAATATTTGATTGGAGATTTCTTCATTAAATATATAACGAATTATTTTCTTAGATTCTCGGAAATGTATTAAAATATTTCAAATTACTTGTAAATAAGTTCTATAACCATAATTTGCATTAAAATTTTCGTATCTTTATTTTAATATTAATGACATGAATTCAAGATAATAATGTTTGATAACCTAATTAATTAATAATAAATATATTTAATCAAAATGATTGAAAAAGAATAAGATCTTTTTTGTGCTTAGATACATAACCATCCAGTCTTAATGGATGATAGTAATAAAAAACTCCAAAAGAATTAAAGACTTAATTGCCCTCTAAGTTTGGAAAATTTAGAATCAAAATCAAAATTTAAGAGCTTTTTGAAAGCATTAAAAAATATTGAAAAGAATCAAAATTAAAAGAAAAAATCAATTGAGAATGTGTTAATTAATATTATCGAAAAAATTCAAGAACTCTAAAAAAACCTTATTCATTTAAAATTTAATGTAGATTAATAATTGGATAATTTGATTGAAAATGCAAATGAATGGATTAAACAAATCTAAATATGGGGAAAATCAAAAGTTACATATAGTTTCTTTGACGAATTAGAAAAATTAATTAAACAAAAAAAAATTGATTAATCCTATTTAAAATCTATAGCTGATCAAATTAATTAAATTAATTAAGAATGGAATCAAAAGTACTTTAATAAATTGAATTTATTTAAATCATTTTAAGAAACTTAAAAATGTGAAGAACTATTATTAAGTTTACAAAAAATCAATTTAATAAAAGAGAAGGAAATATTGATCAAATAGAATTAAGTAAATATTTGTAAAAAATAAAAGGAAGTGATACAAGTAGATATTTAATAGGAATAAAAATTAATGAACGAAAAAAAAGTTGAACTTAAATTAATTGATAATTCTAATTAATAGATTGGTTTATGCTATGCAGTAGTATTTGATGAAACTGGATCAATCATGGTTTCATGTGAGCATGAGATGATTAATATTTGGTAATTTGAATAAGGAAGATTAAAATTAATTAAAACATATTAAGAACATATATAGGCTGTTACATGTTTGGTATATAGCAAATTGAAAAATAATTTTATTTCTGGTTCCCTTGATAAGACTATCATCAGTTGGCAATAAATTAATCAAAAAGAATGGAAATGTTCATAGCCATTCTAATAACATAGTATGTCAGTTAATTGTTTGATGTTAAATAAAAAGGAAGATCATCTAATTTCAGGAGGTTTGGATAAATCAATTAAAGTTTGGAATGTAGATTTTATTAAGAATGAGCTAAATTTTAAATACTCATTAGATAAACATAGTAATTCTATATAATCATTCAGTTTTAATTCATCTGAAACTCTTATGGCATCATGTGGATATGATCATTTTATCATATGGTAGAAAGGAGTTTAAGGAAAATGGGAATTTTAATATAAAAAAGAGGTGTCCTATTATGGACGTAAAATATGTTTCATTAATGATTATCAATGTCTCTGGGTAACTTAACGTAAGGATTGTAATAATATTTTTTTGTTTGAAATACAGAATGGAGTCTGTTAAGAAAATATTAATAAAACTATCAATTTGGTTCAAAATGCTTTATGTGATGATTATCTATATTTCCCAATTATTTACAATAAAGATAAAAATATAATATTAGTAAGACATAAGCACCATATCTATCTGATGAGGGAACTGAATGATGGCATATTTAATATTATTGCATCATTTAATTGTTAAACTGATGAAATTTTCGGGACTATGACCAATAATGGATAGTATTTAGTATTTTGGGATGAAAAATATAAAAAGTATTAATCATATGAGATACTGGATAAATGAATTATATATAAAAAGAATATATTGAGATAATTTGTTATTTATCATTCAATAAATTTAAAGTTTACTCAACTTATGATTTAAATAATAATTCTAATTTACCCACTAAAAATATATGCTGGAAATTTAACTTAAATTCAACAGTATAGTCATTATTAAATATTTTAGAGATTACAGCGTCTAATTAATGCTAGATTATTAAATATTTAAAGACTAATACAACAAGGTGCAAAGATTTTCTTGCTAACTCTTATATCAATTTAAGCTTAAACACTATATAAATTGGATTATGGATTAATATATTTGATTGGGGTTGCTCATACTGTAAAGAGTTCTATGTATTTTCAATAATTTTTTCTTAAAGAGTAGCTACTCTAGAAAGACAATCAGATAAAAGATTTGTTAGTGAACAATAACAATTATGTTATATCTTAAATTTAGAATCAATATGTATTATCTTCAGCACTATATTTCTTAAATAAGAAGGAGTAATTTTAATCCTGTAATTACTTCACATTTCAATATAGAAATCATCTTAACAGTAGCTTTTATGCACATGACACCTATCAAGAAGCATTTTCCATCAGTTGTTTAAATAAAATTTGCAGCATTTAAAACTAAAAAGTAGCTAGTTTAGAAAGTTTATCTACAACATCACTATAGAAACTTAAAATACTTTAAGAGTCCATTTTATGAAATTTTGAGCAATATTTACTTTTATTGCAATTTTATTAGCTTACTTCTCTCTTAAATAAGCCTATAAAGCTGGACTTGATATTTAACTCATAGTTAATGTAAATAGGAGAAATATATTGATTCAATAGTTTGATATGGATAAGATATCATCTTTTTCTAGGTACCAATTCAGGGTAAAGTAAATGAAGTTAAGCTATGAAAGTAAAATAGAAGACTTTCTGGATGCTGAGAAAATAAGCCCATAATATAAGCTTATCAAAGAGTAGGATAATTTTAGTAGGTTATGTTTTCCACATAACTAAATTATCAACTAATCTGTACCAAAAAAATAATAGATTTAAGACAAAATTTATCTATTGATTATTTAAATTAAAAAATATCTTTCCTGCCAAAAATCTTATGTTTAAATATACTAGTCCAAGGAAGAACAAGAGATCAAATTCAAAGAAATTTGCCTAGAATCAGGGATCTAAATCATTAGGCCTATAGGAAGAGGGCTCAATGAAAGAGGATCTATCTCCTCTTCTTAAACTAATTGTGGACAATAAACTTATGGATTACCCAGAGTTTGGGTTTGGGTTTGGGGTTGGGTTTGGGTTTGGGGTTGGGTTTGGGTTTGGGGTTTGGGTTTGGGTTTGGGTTTGGGGTTGGGG